TGGGCATCGTTTAAATGCCACGGCCTACTTGAGCATTGTTTCTGACCATGTCCATCCCTTTATGGCCACCATGTACCCATCCTCTGATGGCTACTTCCAGCAGGATGATGCACCATGTCACAAAGCTCGAATCATTTCAAATTGGTTTCTTGAACATGACAATGAGTTCACTGTACTAAAATGGCCCCCACAGTCACCAGATCTCAACCCATTAGAGCATCTTTGGGATGTGGTGGAACGGGAGCTTCGTGCCCTGGATGTGCATCCCACAAATCTCCATCAACTGCAAGATGCTCTCCTATCAATATGGGCCAACATCTCTAAAGAATGCTTTCAGCACCTAGTTGAAGCATCCGTATGTTAGTATACTGCCATAATCAAGTGGCATTATCTTTTTTTGCGTTCTCCTCAGGTCCTGCCCCGGTTCAACCACAAGGACGAGGTAGTGAAAGCACACATCATGAACGTGAGCTGGTCCGCCGACCACCGAATCATCGACGGAGCCACCATGTGTCGGTTCTCCAACATGTGGAGATCGTACCTGGAAAACCCCGCCACCATGGTCCTGGATCTAAAATAGAAAGCACACTTTCTCCAAGCATTTCTAGACATATGACTCCGTATCCTGACACTAAAGATTTTTTCGTTACTGGGGCACAGCTATTTGAGCCATTGGTCTCATGACTGTTGCACATAAAGAACATTTCAACAATGTCATGAAGCTAATAGCTAACTGGTGTTTTGTTGTTTTCCTTGTGATTCTCTCCTCTTGTTGCCTTACTTATTAAAGATGTTACATCTACCAGAACGTGTTGTTGAATGTTAGAGAATATGAACTTAATGTAGCAATATGAAAACTCACACATGATCTTTTTTGTAAATGAACTTTCTATATACTGTAAAGCCTCCAATGGTGTTGCACAGGGGTTTTTAATATCAGCGATGAACAGTAGTGATTGTTTGTTAGTGGTTAACATCTCTAAAAAATAATAAAATATCACCTCAAAATCGAAAGAAATTACATTTCTAGAATTATTAGTACTATTGTGTCATTTTAAAATATTGTTGATCCTTGAAAATTGCCACTTATTAAAACAAAATATAATTTCTTGCTTTGGACATGTCCTTCGTTCACGTTTTTTTCACTGCTGCTTTTCTTTCCAGTCATTGTTTTTAAAGGACAATGAAATTAATGTGATTCAAACTAAAGCTGTGGGGAATCTGTACTGATGCGTCCTCTCATCTTCTCTGGTGTGACGATTCTTGTTGGAGCATAATGTTCTGCTACTCATGAATGATGGGAGTTTCCTTGAGAGATCTTTGTTTAAGTGTGTGAATTTCAAAGGAAAGTGTTTTAATAAATTATAAATTTGAGAAACTTTATACTCCACTCAGTATTTTATTCCATCTCATACATGGTGAACTTCAGGAGCCAGAATGAGCACAGCAAGTAAATCTAATAGGATTTATGATCTTAAGACAAGTCAAACAGTGTGTATCAGTTGGGGGCGGAGCCTGTGTCTTATTCTCAGCTCACAGTTTAAAGCCCAACACAAACTGAGATTTTAGATGAGCATCTGTTACTGAAAGAACATGCAGGTAAGGCTTTTGTACATATAACATTAGTTTAATGTAACAGGATTAATTGTATTCTAGATTTACTATAATAAAACTGATCAAAGAATAAATTAAATGTAACTTAAAATTATATTAGTTTTGGTGCAAATTAATTTGTAGAAAATCCTTGCTAATCTGAACTCATTGATTTTAAGCAACCAATACTAGTAGATACATTAGAAGATATAATCAGCAAAATAAGACCATAAATATTGGAAAATTTAGTTTAAAAAAATATATATATTTTTATTATTTAAAAAAAATTATATCTAAAATCATCTGGTTTTTATTACTAATATCAATCAAATTTATTAAAAAACGTATTATTCTGTACTAAGCATGTTGTTTTTTAAAGAAAATAATACTATTATTTAGTGACAGTAAAGCTATTTAATTTTAGAAAAGATTTCTATTCATCATGTAACACTGACTGGTGTAATTATGCTGAAAAAACAGCCTTGTTCACCGGAATAAATTACATTTTAAAATATATTAAAATAGGAAACGGTTATTTAAAAGTGTAATCATATTTTCGATCAAATAAATAAAACATAAGAAAAAATAAAATTGATTTTAACAAATAGATACTGTGTTGTGTACCTTTTCAAATGACAAACGACTGTAACAATGTTGCTCTCAATTCAATTACAAAAGAAAGAAGAGCAAACGTGGAAGGGACCCCAAGAGAAAAGCAAAAGCTCCCTTAGAAGGAAAACATCCAAGGAAAACCCTCAATCATCAATGATCCCCATCCAGAGGGGACGCGGCTCAACCTGGACGATGAAGAAGGAACCGAGAAACCAAAAGTTACCATCAGACAGAGACGAGCACGAGCAGCTAATCCACTTCCAGACCACCGCAGAGAGACGCTTCTCCACTGACCGAGCACGTGAAATAATCAAACGCATTGTTGATGAAAGACTCCAGACTGTGGAGTACAGCTGCGCATGTGCGGTACTCTCCATGGAACTGTCTGACTGCATTAAAACGGCTTTAAAGAAGCTGCTGTATGATCGATATAAGTTGGTTTGCTATGTGGCCATCGGGCAGCTGAAGGACTCGGCGGTGAACTGCTCCAGTAGAGCCGTCTGGAGTCCCTCTACAGACACATTCACTGAATATATCTATAAAAACAGCTCCTTATTTGCGCTTTGCGTTTTGTTTGCAGTGTAGGAAGAGTAGGCTAGCATAAATAAATATCGATCAAATCGATTAATCGCTAAAATATACATTTAACATATATATTTTATTGATTTTAGTAATTCTGATAATTTAAAATAATTATTAAGTGTTAAATCAAGATTTTTGGAAATAATTCTGTCAGTATTTATGTTTATATGTTGCATTGCTAATACTCTCTGCTAATGTATCTGTTAACTATATTTAAAAAATGTATAAACATACAGTAAATAAATTTGTTAATACATTTGCATATACTTTCTTTGTTAAAAATAGTATAGAAAAGGCACAATTTGTTGTCATATTGCTTGCAAAACCGCGTGTTTGACTGCAACAAAATGAATATTTCACATTTATGGTATGCTAAAACTGAATTATATAATGTTCTACTTGCAGCAATCATAATTTGCAAATATATGGCCTAACAGTGTTGTCTTGAAACTGTGTTAATCAGGTTAATGTCGCTATTCTTGAAAGCATGTCTGGTGCGGTAAAGTATGTAAAAGCGGACAGCTGCTCTTGTGCCAACTTTAACATGTGACCGCACTATTCCCAGTGTTGACTCTGGTTAAATATAGACACTGGCCAGACTGAAGCTTCAAGAGGGAAGACCATGACAATCACAGAGGGATAATTACTTCAAAATCAGTTCTTTCAACACAGATCACACTTATTGGAATTGTCAGAGGACTTTTGATATTGATACAGCAATGGGCGCTAACTTGGCACAGACATGGTATATAGAAGCTGGAAGGACAATATGACCAAATGAGAGTGGTAAGCATTACACTTTGGTATCTCAAAGTTGCTTTAATGTCAGTCACAGCTTGTGATGTCCACAGTACTAATTCAAATGTGTCCTATATTAAACGCAAATGTTAATAGTTTTGCAGTGCATACACTTTTTCTGGCCAGTAAAATGGCTTGTCTGCTGCTTTAGGCTAGCAAAATGTGTGTATGAAGTGATATTTGGGGCTCTGTATCATCATGACGGGGCTCACGGTGTGCTATGGGACAGTAAACTCCGTCAAGGCTCTGTGGGAAAACCGGATAAAGAAAAGCAAAGATGAACTGAAGAAGGAGAACGAACAGAGAGACAGGAGAGCAGTGGGTAGGTACGTGCACTACTGTCAAGTATGGGAATCATAATGGTTCTTAGTAGGTCATGACCTTAAAAAGGGTTGCAGGTCTCTAATACAAATAATAACCATAAAATCACGAATAGTTAGGATAACAATATGCTTTTAATCATCAAAGGCCAAGTATACAATCAAACTCTATGGCTCTCATGTTACTTGGTAGAAGGTAGTCAAATTAAGCAGATGGCAATTTGGCAACATGGAAAAGTTGCATGACAGGATATTTTTCTCAAAGACCATGAGTTTAACTATGCAAGGTAAAAGACATACATTGAATGTGATTTTCAGGTTTGGTTCTGCATTGGATCGATGACGACACTATGTCCAATGTAAAATCTCGGACCTAAAGCAAAACCAGTTGAGAACCACTTCACAGTCTGTGCTTTTGTCTATCCAAAAACTGCAGTTATCATTGAACGTTTTTTAATAGTTTCAAATCTTTGGCATAGGTTAACAGGTGCCTGGGAGGATCGTATCACTTTGGCCAAGCTAAAGGAAAAAGTTGTGACTGAGGAAGGACGTGTCATCCTTAGGATTGAAAAGGAGGAGTGGAAGGTAAGGCTCTTTGTGAGTTTGAGCTCAATATCATATTAGAAGTCAATAAGCGGTGCTGTTATCCAGAGAGAATCAATCTTCAATCTGCTTGGAGGTTTCTAGTAATCTTGAAGACATTGAATAGTTGGTTCAGGTGTTTAAGGTTGGAGCTGCCAGTAGTGGACTGCAAGGGCTAAGGGTGCGGTTTGGGACAGGACTTTGGGCAAGGGTGCCAAATCCTGCTTCCAAGGGGCCAAGCTCCTGCAGAGTTTAGCTTCAACCTGCCATCAACATACTGCCTGGACAAATCTAGTAATTTAAAGACCTTGATTAAGTGGTTCAGGTGTGTTTGGGGTTGGAGCTAATGCCACGTTTGAGACAAGATTGGATGTGAAAATGTCACAATTGAAATGTCCCTCTTCCGACCTCAGTGAGTTCCAGTTCACATGTTGACCACGTGATGTCTCCATGACACACAGAGAGCATTTCGTGTTTTTGTGTCAATTAATGGCAAAATAGAAAAATATCAAAATTCTGTCATTTGCTTTAAAAACAGCTGCAAACAAACCTCAATTTAAGGTATCATTATATAAACATAATGTCTAAATAAAAATGTATTACATTTGATGTAAGTTAGCTCAACGCTATGCTGATTAGAAGCAGGACTTCAAATGACTTGCCTCGCTGAGGTCAGGGTTGATTCGATCTGCCCTGAGATCACAGGTCGAATGTCCTACTTCCGAGTGGCATTACAAGACTTTATTTTCAAATATGAGGTGGGAAAAATATAAATTCCAAGCTGTCTGGAATGCAGCATAAACTCTACAGGATACTGGCTCTCAAGGAGCAGGATCAGACTCCCCTGACTTAGGGCAAAGATTCTGAAAGAGTTAATACCTTTAAATTGTCATGGGCAATACTATTGCCCAGATATTTGGAGATAAATAACATCTTCAATTAAACAAAAAAAAAAAATGGATGGATTGTTTGGTTCTCACTCTTGGAACCTTGACCCTTTCTGCAGACTCTTCCTCCAGCTCTGGTCCAACTCTCCCAGATTCAAGAATGGCAGATACACCGAACAGGACTTCAAAGAATTCCACGGTTCATCTCAAGCTTTGAGTCTCTCATAGTCTTGGACTTATCTCGTAATTCAGTCACGGAGATTCCCAGAGAGATTGGTCAGTGAGAAAATAGGTGGAATCTGAGCAAACTTTGATGAATTTCTTTAGTTAAAGTAACTCTCAGATATGCTCTTATAACCAACAGGCAAACTAACTCGGTTAAGAGAGCTGTTGTTGAGCTATAACAGAGTGAGTTACGTACCAGAAGAACTTAGTTGCTGTGAAAATCTGGAGAAACTGGAACTTGCAATGAATCGAGATCTGGATGAGCTGCCCACCCAGGTATTTATAACTCAGAATGCCCATATATACACCACATATTTTGTCTATATGTCCCTATATAAACCCATCACCTGTTTTTACTTCAATCCGACTTACCTTAGTTTAGCAATCTTAAGAAGCTGTATCACTTGGACCTCTCCATGAACCACTTCACCACCATTCCAGATTGCGTGGTCAACCTTCCTTCTCTTGAGTGGCTAGACATGGGCAGCAACAGTCTGGAAAGGTTGCCAGACGATATTCACAGGTAAAATACTATTTGGTCCATCAATGACTACTACAACCAAGACTTTGTAATGGATCTGATGACCTTAGTCAGGTTTTCTTCTAGAATGGAGAAACTTCATACCCTGTGGCTCCCGAGAAATGAACTAGAGTACCTGCCAGACAACATCAGCCGCATGCAAAGCCTGGACACACTAGTTCTGAGCAAAAATAAACTACGAGACATTCCTCCACTTATGGAGGGCATGAGTAACCTCAGGTAAGCACAAATATTTTGCTTTATTTGTAGAACGTTCCACAAAAGCAAAACAGTTATTCTATAAGAACGACTAAAGCTCTGAACATATTTCACGCAAATATGTGAATGCAAATTCTTTGAGGACTGAATTGTAGCGCATTGGCATATTTACAAATTATTTATGCTTAGCTTAAAATGCTCATTCTGCAGGTTTGTGAATTTCCGAGACAATCCTTTGACATATGAGGTGACGCTTGCTGATTTAAAAGAGGATGTAGACGAGGAAGAGAATGATAGGGAGATGTTTGGTCGCGAGTTCATGCACTACTACATCCAAGAAGCCCGGAAAAGAGGTTATGCCGTACTCAATATGTATTGTGTGCAAAACTTGTAGCAGATCTTTATTATAAAATATTACATAAATAAAACAGAACTGGAATTAAAGCCTTTAGAGCCTCTTTATGAAAACAACTTTTGCATTCCATGTCTATTTCAGGATCCCAAACTTTCACGTCATTGCTAAATGTGACGCTGGACGGCGTGTCTGAGACAGCATCGTCTTTGTGACTTGCATGCTGGCTTCTGTCTGCTCACCTGCCTTTTGGACTGATCTTTCCGGTCCATCATGTCAAGTATTGTCCCCTCTCCCAAGTCCTGTGAAGAGTGCTTCTTTCTTTTAAATGTTTTGTTGCCTGTCATTTTTTGGAGTGCTTCTTCCTGCTAGTATGTCATATACGTAATGTTTGTGGATGAACTAAAATAAAATAAAAAATCCATAAACATTGATAAAATAAAATGAAGCATATGTTTCCTGCACTTGTGCTTGTTTGTCTTAAGAATGCTGTTTAGATTCATCTCTATTCTGATTGGCTGTGGGAATGGCAGTTAGTAACACATTCTCCAGTGACACATCTCTGCTTGTGTAGTATCTCAGACTGGTTTTAAAGCCTTTTTGCTGGAGGTAATACACTCTTCCATGGTCAATCAGGTGCTTACAAAGCCGCCCAATTTGTTCCCGATCTTCAACTGACATCAAACTGCAAGAAAGAATGTTTATAAATGAAATCAAGAACTTAACATAATACTTATTGGTCGGTCAGCAGAAAACTCACCCGTTAAGGGTATCTGGCACAGCTTCCTCGCTCATCTCATGTTCTTCCTCTTCGCCTGTTTTTTCTGTTGTCTTGGAGCTGAATTTTCTCATGCCGCAAGTGGCCCAGCTCGACATGCGCTGGAAAGCAGCAAACTCTTCTGGTCCGAGACCTTTCTGTCTGAAGAACTCTTTTCCCACGTAGTGTCTCCAGTCGCAACGGTGGTGGCAGCAAAGAGCGATGGCCAGTCCTGACACTATGAGCTCTTCACCAGTTTCCCTGCCTTCGGTTGAGGGAACAGGCTTCATATCATCACCAGCACCCTCCGTATGATTAAGTTTTACACGCTTGGTAGGAGGGTCATCATCTTTGTCAATGCAGTTGTGCTCAAATAAACACCGAAGGGCCAGATCTGTGGAGATAAGTTGAAACATCAATCTTGCAGGACTGATCCCATGTTAATATTTATGCAGTTTATTGAATTCTAGTCTACCAGTTGCTGCACCACAGAGGTGCTTCCCAACACCAATAACAGGAAGTCGCTTTTCTCTCAGGAGAGGAACTTTCACTGGAAGGAAATATTATTTATGAGAAGATCAATCGCAGAAAAATGTATATTATAATATATTAACACCATAAGGAACTCTTTGAGAAGCTTACTCACGTAAATCAAGGTGTTGAATATCAACCTGAAGCCTATCAAAAGTCGAGTCTGCATTTTTGTGCTTGCCATCTACCTTAAAAACCCATCAAAATCAAATGTAACCTCACTTTCGAGCAACAAGAACAATATTTTTCTGTGCTTGAGGAAAGGATAGCTAAGCTTCATGCAAAGGACACCACACCTTAAAGCGAGTACTGGACCTTTCCACAAGTAAAAAATGGACATTTTCAGCTGCTTTAAGAGCAATGTGAATCCAATGGGACAGTTTTCCCTTCCCTGCCCCAAACTCTATGTAGCATCTGTTTGGACTGAGCAGTTCCAAAACTTCCATGTTTCCAAGAATAGAGGCCTGGAAAATGAGATATTATGAATATGAACTCTGCTCGAAAATAAAGACCATTTATACAGAGCAACTTGAGCAAGGATGGGCAACTTCGGTTCTGGAGGGGCCACTTTCCATAAATCACCCCTTTTTTTATGCTCTTCACGTTCGCTCGGATCTACGTCACTGCTTAAATTGCAAAAGTGCCCACTACTGTCCAAACCCTTGCAATGTGTTTAAATGGAACGCCCAAAGGCTTTGATCACTTTGAATCCGAGTAGACTTGCCCCCTCTCTCAAAATCGAGGCCCTCCAGGACTGACGTTGCCCGCTGTTGATATTGAGTAAGTATAGTTTGTCAGTTTGGAATGCTTTACCTGTTGCTTGAGGTGTTTAAAAGCAGAATCTCCATTCTTTGGGTCATTTAGAGGGTCATATAGAGCAGAATGTGAGAGTGTTTTTTCTGTGAGTTTGGTATTTAGACCTGAGGAAAACAGATTAGAATCCCTTTACAATAAAATGACAATAAACCCTCCAACATCAAAGCCACCAATTTTTATTTTCCACATTTGTTCATCGTTTGGTGTCTAATTAATGCATAACATAAACAGATTTAATAATCATGTGATAAAATCTAAATGGCACCTGCATACCTTGTAATGCAGTTTTAAGTTTCACTATCAACTCATCCAGTTCCTCTTTGGATCGATCAGCAATGGATATCTGCATTAACACATCATTATTAAGCCCATATCTTCTTTAAAGCCATGTCATTTTTATATATGCTCAAATCATCACCTCTTCTATGGTTTCATCTTCATTTTCACACCCAGCATTGATGTCCTTCACATAATAAATCTAACATATATAAATCAAACATAGCAAGTCATTAGCACAGGAACTGTGAAATTCAAGAAAAAGTAAGAAAAAATAACATATTGAAGGATAAGGGTTGGTGGAGTTATCCATACGTACAGGTTTTGGTTTCTCCTTGGAGTTGCATTTCTTCAGGTGTTTGGCCAAATTATCTTCAAACACAGTGCTGTTTAAAACAGGAGATCACATAAAAGTTCTAACGTTACACATCTACCATTGTCCAAGTCATCGGACAAAACTCTGCTATGTTTGTCAATAATCATATCAAATGATTTGATTTAATTTCGGAATTAAATCTGAAGCTCTGGAATGATTTCTTTGATTAAGTCTGGACTGAACTATACTTAAAGTTCATATTTCTAAACCTCTCCAAACTTTTTAGAAGAGTTAAAGTCTTACTGTTTGGGGTCCAAAGGACAGGGTATTCGTTTTTTCTCACTCTCTTCACCCTATATGAAAATGACATCAGTCAAAAGTTTATGCAAGCAGTTTGATCAAGTAGTTTTAATGGGGGCAAGGTAAGAAGCAGCACATCCATTCAGAGCAGGACTTGCGTGAACATTGTAACGTACAGCATTTGCATGTTCCCCGCAGAAGGTTTTCCCACTTCCAACAATCATCTTGCAGTATCGTTTCTTTTTTACAACATAAAAAGCACATCTTCCAGGTAAAGGCGCTAACACGCCGTCCGCTGTGGATCCCTCCATGGTGTACTGCTGCTGAAGACGCAACTTCCGCAAGACATTTTAAAATAAGAGACATCCACGACAGAGATAAGGAATAAAAGTGTACAAATGTGTGTCTGTAAAATTTAATTTCATTAAATTATTCATATATTTATTCATTTGTTGTTGTTATTATCATTATTTTTGTTACGTTGTTGAAGACTTTTATTGAATCTGTTTACTGTTTTCATCGAAACCGGAAGTGCATCGTCATCATGTGTTTTGTCAGTCAGCTGTTCATTCACACACTGCCGTGTGATGGCAGTTTGTGTTTGCGTTCATTTCGCGAGCGTCGGCACGCGCACATTCTGTGTGTAATTGCACAACAGATTGTAAGATGTTTGTTGAAGATGCTTGTAAAGAACTTTGCACTATTAGGACAGAGCCACATGCGTGAGTTACACAAACAGGAAGCGTACATCACATGCTTTGTCAAATCTATTTATGATGAAGCACAATTTATGAAAGTCTTTTTATTTTTATTTATTTATTTTTTATTCCGGAGTGACTCTGGATTAGGGATGTTAGCGTGGCTCGAACCTCAAGTCATGTGTTAACTTTCAAATACAGGCAAGTCTCCTTTATATCTATATATATATATATATATATATATATATATATATATTATAATAAATTCTTAAGATAAATTTGAAATGTTTAGAAAGTGGTAGACTTATCAAAGAATGGTGATTAATATATAATATGTTTGGGTTTTATTACACTGCTTTAACCATTTTTTACTCCAGCTCATGGCCAAATTCTCACCTAATTCTTGAAGTCAAGTGATAAACCCACATCCTGCTGACATGATCTCCACTTCTCGGATCTAAATGAACTGAAAGAGTTAGTCTATTAAAACGGGTTTCGAGGCTTTTTATAAGGGTTGTCCAGTTGTTTTATCGTTTTAAGTCGTTTAGTTTGGCTCGTAATTATAGCTACATGTTTCCTTTAGGCTACTGACCTACATTCAAAACAATGAAAGCTTTATGATTTACCAAACGCTTATCGCGTTAAAAGTGACGTTGCTAATCTGCACACCAAGACATTCTTTCTTGGTTGGTTCATGGCTGTTGTTCGTCGACGTTTGAACCCTGGAATGCCTGACTTATGAAATAGTATGAGAAATCTTTTTTTTATTGATTAAAAAACACATTTGCATATGTTTTTGTATAGTAGAGTATGCTTCATATAGTAGGTTATGATATAGATACAAGAATATGATGCTCGTACTTATGGAAGCTTTTTTCTGTCACTGAATAAAAATAAAATAAAATAAATTAAAAAAATCTTTTTTTTTATCTGACAATTCAGACTTTTTTCACCCTTACAATTTAGTGTTTTTTTTATCCTACAGTTGTGGCTTGTTTCCGCCACGCAATAAAAAAATGTATTTTTTCTGTAAAGCCCTGTATATTAATGTGCTTTATAAATAATCCTCCCTTATACTTCCATAAAATTCATATAGTCGTTTGTAACTCTATCTTCTAATAATGTGTGTTAGTTTTATGTTCAAAGCGCTGTAGTTTTTATTGTGATTGCAAAAACAGGGAAACACTTTATGTCGTTGTTACACATGTTACTGAAATAATAACTTTAAATGATGCATAATTACATGCAACTAACTAGGGCTGTCTAACGATTAATCGCGATTAATCGCATCCAAAATAAAAGTTTGTGTTTACATAATATATGTGGGTGCACTGTGTACAATTATTTGTAATGGATGAATTAAAGTGGATTTCACAACATCTTGAAGTAGCGAATGATTTTCTGATTGTTGGTGTTCCAGATATAATTTATAACTTCTTCACACGTACTGGCTCATGTTTCTGATTATAATGCTGTTTTGGTTGTTTTTTTTGGGAAAGCCATGGAGGAGCTGGACCCGGAGGAACAGTTCCTCAGGGATGCCAGGAATGGGAACCTAGAAGGTATCCAGAGGCTATTGATGTCCAAGATAAAGGAGGAGGCCAACATCGACATCAACTGCAAGGGTAGGACACGACATTAGGTTTCCTTTGACCGTTCATATCTATAAATAATTTTTAGTACTTCTAATGGCAATTGCATTGTTTCAGGCAAGAGCAAATCTAATCATGGCTGGACACCTCTTCATCTGGCCAGTTACTTTGGACATACGGATGTTGTTGAGGAATTACTGAAGGTATCGATCATCTCAGGCTTTAGATATAACACACATTCTATGTATGATTTATGTGTATGTTTATTATGAGAAGAATGTCTTTGCGGGAGCTCATCTGTGCTTCTTACAGGCTGGAGCAGATGCCAACTTGTCAAATAATGTCGGAGACACGGCCCTCCATAAAGCAGCATTCACTGGGAGGAAAGTACGTATTACTTCTATAACATATCATAATACACTGAGACTATGGATTTGAGCTATAGAGTGATATTTGGTTATTTGATGGACAAACGATGGCCCGATTTTAGAGGGTATTTTAAAGAAAGTCGCACCCAACGTTGTAATTCAAAGGCAAAGTAATTTATTTTGTGTATGCTTCTGGATAATTATAAACACTTTACTGGATTTAAAAGAGAATGTGTTGCTTAACAAATAGACTGCTCAAAACAAAGATTTCAGATCACAAAACAACTTGGCATAAATTATATAATTAAATAAAACCACAGTATTAAATTATTTATAAAATAATTTATTGTAAATTATTATACATTTAATAATTAGTTGATAATAATAATTGCATTAATATGTATTAATCATATTACATATTATTATTAATATTGTTATGCAGTAATATAATAATTATTAATATAATTTATTATTATTATTATTATTATATATATATATATATATATATATATATAATTAATAATATTTTATTAATAATATTTTTATAATATTATAAATATAATTATTAATAGATACTTATAATGAATTATTATGTTTTTACTTGACAAAACAACTTGGTAAAAAATAAATATGATGACACCAGTGGTAAAAATAATGATTATTAATAAAATAATTACTTTTAATTGTTATACATTTTCGAATTACAATGATATAAATTGTATTATTCATATTCATATTTATTATTAATATATAATTAGTAGTTTTCTAATTATTAATAAAATACTAATTATTAATATTATGTTTTTATTGACTAATTTAATTGTTAATAATATATAAAAAATAATATTATTGTGCAATTATTAATATTATACTTTATTAATAAAATACTCATGTTTTTATTGACTTATTGACAAAACCACTTGGCATAAACATGACATAACAACAATAGCAATAATAATTATTATCATTAGCATTTCATTATTATATGTTACTATTATACATTATTTATATTAATTATTACTATCGATATTATTGTTTTTATGTTAATTAGCAACATTCTAATTATTAATAAAATGCTAATTATTCATATTTATTTATTAATAATATAATTGTATTATGCAATTAGAAATACCCATAATAAATATTATGTTTTATTGACATTTATTGACAAAAGAACTTGGCATAAATATTACCACAACAGCCAATCATTGCATTCGTTTCGAGCTGTGTTTATTGCAGCCCTGAGAGGACTATAGACACTCGATTTTTATACTCTCCTTTTCAGAATACTAACATTTTAGATATGTATTGGTATATAAAGACAGTTTAAACAAATTTGGGAAAAAGCTTTTTAGAAACAAACTGCCTACCCTGCATTTAATGTCATGTTTTTAACCAACATAACTACTCTGTCTGCTGAACCCCAAACACTGATTGGACTCTGAGTCTGATATATATATATATATATATATATACTAACCGAATGCTGATTTTGCTGTTTAGGAAGTTGTAATGTTGCTTCTTCAGTATGACGCTTGTCCTTCTGTCATCAATGGGACGGCGGAGATACCTAAAGATGTTACCCAGAGCGCTGAGATTAAAAGCATGTTGGAGGGTAAGCATGTTGAAATTGCATGAAAACGTCCCTCTACTATGTGTACCGAAGGCGCTTTGGATCAAATCTACTGGGTAATTACTTTCGTTACTAGATTATAACTGACATTCTTTTACCAACTAGCTGCGGAGAGGACTGAAGAGAGGAAACGAGAGGAGCAGCTGCTGGAGGCGGCGCGGGAAGGAACCATATCTACCCTCACTAGACTGGTAAGCTTTGCTATACCATTTTAAAGACGTCTACATCATGTAACAGCGTTTAAACGTTGATATGAACTCTCGTTACTCGCGTAGCTAAACATGAAGAAACCCCCGGACATAAACTGCACAGACCTGCTGGGAAACACGCCGCTGCACTGCGCCGCTTACAGGGGTCAGAAACAGTGTGCCATCAAACTCCTGCAGCTCAAGGCCAACCCTAACGTCAAGAACAAAAACGGTACCCAGCGACTACTTATTGTAGCATCATTTTTTAATACTTTCAAAGCCGTTGTGTTAAAAAAAATTACTCTATCAATTCAGTACATCTACAAATGTATATGAATCATTAAATTGATTAAATATATGTATTTTATAAGGGTATTTTGTGGTGGCCAGAAACATACTGGTGTTTATTTTTGCATATTTGATTTCAGATCAGACCGTTTTTGATTTGGCTAATGATGCGGAAATGAAGCAGATCATTGCAGGAAATGTTATGAAAGTAGGTTCATTTAACTGTTCTGATGTAAGAGTGTCACAAATATGGTATCCATGCATAAAACATATGTCATGTCATGATTAGGAAAGTGTCATGTTAGTGTTATGTACACCCCTTCAAGTGAAGTGTTACCCAATATTTTTGTAATAACTTGTGTGGCTTGTTTCAAAAATACCTTGTCCATCACCATACATCTTAATATTTAGCTTAATTTATGCTCATTTACTATGAATGAATGAAATCAGTGAACAATGTTGTGAATTTGGTTTTGTTTGACCCTACAGGGCATGACGCGGCATGTTAAAACATTTGAGGGTCCTCTCTGGAAGGTATGCTTTATCA